AAAGTGTTGGGGGATGAGGCTAGTGAGGTGTAAAATTAATACACACTTAAGCATATAGGTTTTTTTTCCCCTGAAGACTAATGGTAGACGTTCTATTAATCCAGGAGGCGAGGGTAAGATCCAAAAATTAAAGATGATTTTCTTTGGCAGAAATTAAAGGTGAATTCAAAAGAAGTTCCCTATTATATTACAATAATTTAGCTAATCATGAGTGTCAATATCAACATATAAAATTTACATCAAGAACTATAATTATGATCCAGATAATATAATATTAGCTTGAAGTGTAGTCGAGGCATAAAAACACAGAAAATACCCATATGGATTTATATTATATTTGTAAAATTTGTAATATGATTTAAAATAGATATCTTTTTCTTTGATGCACAGGATAAATACTAACAATTTAATGGCTTTTAAAATATTTTATTTATTTCTTTTAGTATTTAAAACTTCAAAAATGAATAAAAAATGAAACACGTACAAAGTGGGGACGGTTGGAGGCGTCACCGGAATATTATATCTGTTTTTTTTCAAATTTTATATTGTTTTTGCCAGCTAAATTTATATTTTTTCAGTAGACTTTTATGAGAAAAAAAATCAAACGCCCCCTGTGATGAGCAACTTTTTTTTTTTTTTGGGTTTGAACCAACGACGTGACCCAAGTGATGAGTGGAAGCCAGGGTTTGAGTGATATACGTGCCAGAATCGTCCTCTGTTTTTGCCGCGAGACTACTCCCTTATCTTAAAGCAGTGGTGAAGGAAACCCTGAGACCATTCCTTCCTTCGCCATTACTTTTCCCACGAGAATCCATGGAAAGATGCAACAGGCAACAGAGAGGGCTACCAGATTCAACCAAAAATTCACAACAATTCTATCCAGAAAGATTCTCTAGCTGTTCAATAGAATATGTCTAGGCTGTTCCCAATATCAGTTTTTCATGCTCCCACGTTATCAAATATCGATACGCAAAGAATGATAAGCAAGATGGGAACCATAAACTTGTGTGGTTGTTTTGGTTCATTGGGTTCCGTACAACGGTAGTTTGGGGTGTGTGGAGGGAGGTATACGTCAATTCCTGTGTTCTTGGTCCAAAATTTTTGCCGTCCTGACCACGTGGATTATAATTCAGGGACGGATACGCATGGACCACATAGTACTAGTGTTTATTTTTATTCTAGACTCACTCAACTCAGTCCATTTAATTTGGCCATTAGATTTTGATTGCCCGCGACATTCCGTTTTGAGATTGTAAGTTGCAAACGGTGGAATTTTATGTCATAAATTGTAACTATACCACATTATATATATATATATACTACCTCCGGTCTTAAATATAAAAACTAATTGACTAATTTAAGAGGTTAAAAAAATAAGTTAAGTTAGTTAATTGTAATAAATATGTGTTGTCTTTCTTAAAATATCTTTGCTAATCAAATGTATTAGCTAGAATTACAATTATTAGAAGGACTATATTAGAAAAAAAAATTAATAAACATGAGAGACAAAATAGATTGTGTTCTTATATTTAGGATCAAAATAAAAATTAAACAAGATCTTGTATTAAAAAACAGAAGTAGTATATTAAAGAAACGGCTTCTTGCATTGAACTTGAATTACAAAAGTAAACTTAAAAAGTGAGATGATAAATTCAAAGCAAGTGAAAGGTAGAAGACGAGCGAGGTTGATTGGCGTGACTAGTTTCTAAACGTAGAAGTATAAATATTAGGAAAAATTATAAATAAAGACCTTCTAATATATAAAATTATGATTTGGGATTTAGAATTTGAAAAATAGCAAATAAGGATCAGATCCTGCTTTTGCAAATATGAAATGTGAGTAAAATGTCTGAAATGCCCTTTAGTGAAATTGTGATTTGGTTTACTAAAGTTGTCATTCGTTAAAATGAACTTGTTATTTCCCATAGTCAACTCGTCATTTGGCATACCCTCAACCAAGTTGTAATTTGGTCTAATGAAATTGTCATTCACTAAAGTAAACTTGTCATTTTTCATAGTCAATTTGTCATTTGACTAAGGGATATTTCAGACATTTCACCACGATTTCATATTTGCAAAAGTGAGATCGGGTTCTTATTTGCTATTTTACAAATTAAAAGTCTCAAATTGAAATTTTATATATTATAGGGTCTTTATTTGCAATTTTTTCTAAATATTAAACTGACTTTTTTAATATGTTAAAAATAATTTTCACTTACCTTTTCGAAATATTTTTTTTATTGTTTTTAGATTTTGTGGAGGAGAATAAAAAAAACTCTACCCAAACAGAGTAACAGACATTGGAAAACTTGCTTTTACGGACCACATGGTGCCCAAACATCGCCTAAACTTGGTCTCCAGTGTACTTGATTTATAGACCAAATGTTTTATGGGCCTGAACACACATTTCGGCCCAACCCACAGAAAAGATAATGCATCCGCATTATCCTAAAAGGCATCCCTTCAATAAACGCAATATCCATCCAGCCGACAAATCCTTTTAACGGTCCCCTGATCAAACGACGGTTGAACGAAGGGAGCAGCTTCTCGAATCCGAACTTGGCCATTCTTTTAAGCAGCTGTTGAAATTAAATAATTGAATTCATAGTAAATTGGTAATTATATATATTTAGTTGATAAATAATATCTCAATATTTTTTAAACAATGTATTTATTTGTTTTTTAATATTTAAACTTTTGAAATGTGTAGAAAAATATTTTAAAAAATAGGAAAAGACTTATATATATATTCAACAAAAATAAATCAAGAAAAAAATGAATAAAATGTATTAAACTTTAGATTTAGATGATCATATATAATGCCCATAACTCTTAAATAGAAATAATATACAAATGTTGTATATTTTAAATTTAAATTATATGAAAATGTTTGAAGATATATTAAACACTTCATATGATGTGATATATGGGATATTTACCTAGAACATACAAAAAGATTAGAAAAGATATATTTAAAAATAGATTTCATGCATAAAATATGATATCTTACATATTACTTTTCTTTGAAAATATTACGATTCATTTATTATAGTGAAAAGAAAAGTAAATAGAGAATAGCATCCAGGTAGCAAAATGAATGCGACTGATGTAAACAAGAGGCTGAGCAACACAAGACCCGCGCCGGGCCAGATTTGCCCTCCTTTTTTTAGAAAGCGGACAAATGAATCCAATGCTATCACACTGAGTGGAATATGTTTCGATACTTAAGTATCATGATATTTATTACTGTCATAAAATCTAAACTGTTGAGATATAACTTTAATAACTTAAATTTAAAATTTTTAACTAACAATTTTTTAATAAAAATTATTTTAAAAAAAAAACTTACAGTCAAGGTATTTCATTTTATTTTGAGTTATGTACCTATTAAAAAAATATATTTTAAAAAAATATTAAATATTAAATATTAAATCTTAGTCATCCATATTAAATTTAAATGGTTGAAATTTGACAAACATGATAGTGCTTATCATTGTGATGAGCACTAAGACCGATTCTCACATTAAATAAATGACAGCACATGCTCCGAACCTCCATCACAAATGATGTCTTTTTTCTTTCTTTTCTTTTTTGACTGAAAATGATCTCATTCACAAAACAAAACAAAAAAATCATGTACAGAGGAGTTCTAGCATACGAAAACAAAGAACATCTAATCCCATAATCCGTGAAAATAACAATTTTTAGGTGTTTTGAAGTTAAAAGTTCTGCTTGATACAAAACATTAAAAATAAAAAGTTGAGATTGTTATTTGGATTAATAAAATTTAGTAAAAGAATATTTAGCATGATGAATTATTAAGATCCCGTTACATTACCATATAGGTTCAACCGCATTGTAGGGTTGCAATGATGATGAATGTTATTTAGATCCCATTATATGTGCGTTTGGTTGCATTAATTATAATTACCAAAAAAATGGCAATGAGGATTCATAGGGCCCCCTGTGAATCTACATTACCATCCCATTAGCATTGCCTTATGCCAAAAATACTCCCATCTACTTGTGCGTCTTCCCACATTTGTCCATCAATTTCTCCTTCCATGAAATTTACCCCGCTGCTAACATCGCCACTACGGCCACCGGCGGCGGCAGTCCTTCCTGCACCTACAGAAAGCGCATCGAGACTAACAAGACGTGGCTCTTCAGCGGACGACGATACAAACACCAAAGGTACGGCAACGTGGCTTCTGGTTTTCATTCTCTGTCATTAACCTTCCTCCTCAGCAAATCTGAGCAACACAAAAATCCATGACCCCACCTCCATCCTCAACTAACTTTCCCGTCATTCATTTGCCATTGCCATTATAAAAATAAGAAATATCTTCATTCTCTCTCTTCTCGTCTGAAGAGAGTGTGTTGTTGCCATTATAAAGATAAACTTATCTTTTGTTATTTATTCATTTTAAATAATTATTAGATATAGCTTATTGCACCACTCTCAAAAAACGTACCAAATGCTAATATTATAAACTTTCATTACATTGTCATTACACTACCCTGCACTGGATTGCAGGATATAAATTGAAACAAATAACCCTTAGTTTTTTCTTTTGCCCCACCCGTCTAGGAAAAGCCAAAGTAACTGCCCATTAATGTCCTCTTCAAAACCTAAGTCCACACCAATACTAAGCTTACACTAGGCTAGCTAGGTAACGTGTTTACTCTTTAAGCATGCATGTCGCTTTTAAAATTGTTTCCAAATTAAATAGGAGTGTCTCGCCTTTTGATAGGCCAGATCGGGTCATGTGATGATGTGGCCTACAGGCATTTGGGTTAAGCACGTGATTGAATATGAGAAATATCTTATGGCAATTCTTTCCCCTTTTCAATTTTTCTCCATATCCATTTACCCGTTCATCATTTTGTGAACCTAAACGATCGAATTTTAAATCATAAACTGTAACCATACCACTTTTATATATATCTTAGATCCAGGTTCCTAACTCCACACACTTAATTCGTACCGCACCAAAAGTATGGTGATACTTTTAACTCTCTTCTCATCCATCTTCCTCATCTTTCTTATCCGCAGAACAAGAAGAATAAGAGCACGGCTTCCACCAGGCCCTTCGGGTCTTCCTCTCATAGGCAATCTTCACCAGCTTTCCAGGTCTTCCCCACATAGCTATCTATGCCATCTTTCCCAACAATATGGCCCTCTCATGTTCCTGCGCTTTGGCCTCAAGCCCGCCATTGTTGTTTCCTCGGCCAAAATAGCCAGACAAGTCATGAAAACCCACGACCTCGTATTTGCTAGCAGACCATCTTTGCTTGGTCAACAGAAATTGTCGTACAACGGCTTAGACGTGGCTTTCGCACCTTACAGTGACTATTGGAGAGAAATGAAAAAATTGTGTGTCCATCACCTGTTTAGCTCTCGGCGCACCCACTCGTTTCGTCCCGTTCGGGAAGACGAGGTTGTGCGAATGATTCGAAACTTGTCACTGTCTGCTGCTTCTCACAAAGTAATCAACCTGAGCGAGAGGTTAACGTTTTTCACCAGCACTTTGATATGTCGGATTGCTTTCGGGAAAAGGCATGATTTGGAAGACCAAGGACGTGAGAGAAGTAGATTTCATGGACTGCTAAATGAAGCTGAGGCATTATTGGTCGAATTGTATTTCTCAGACTATCTGCCATGGTTGGGGTGGGTTGATAGACTCAGAGGACTTCTCAGTCGTCTGGATAAAACCTTCAAGCAACTTGACATGTTCTACCAACAAGTCATCAACGATCACATAAATGCAACAACACCTCCTGCCGACCAACAAGACATCATTAATATCCTTCTTCAAATAATGGATTCTCAATCGTCCTCGTTTGATCTCAGTTTAGATCACATCAAGGCTTTGCTCATGGTAATATTGTCTCCATTTTCTATGATAAACAAGAGTCTTTTTTTTCTTTTCTTAAAGGTTATTCAATTTCTGTTATATATGTGGATGCAGAATATATTTATAGCAGGAACAGACACGAGTGCAGCAACAATAGTTATGGCAATGACCTCATTGATAAAGAATCCCAGGGTAATGAAGAAAGTACAAGATGAAATCAGAAAGTTATATAGTGAGAAAGAATTCATAAGTGAAGAGGATATTGAGAGGCTTCCTTACCTCAAAGCAGTGGTGAAGGAGACTCTGAGACTGTTTCCACCTACTCCCTTGCTTCTGCCAAAAGAATCCATGGACAGGTGCAGCATAGAAGGTTACGAGATTCAACCAAAAACTATGGTTTTAGTGAATGCGTGGGCTATAGGGAGAGACCCTGAGACATGGGAAGAGCCAGAACAGTTTTATCCAGAAAGGTTCTTCAACAACTGTTCAGTAAACTTCAAAGGCCAAGATTTTGAGCTGATTCCATTTGGAGCTGGTCGCAGGATTTGTCCCGGAATGCTCATGGCAGTAGTCACAGTGGAGCTTACACTTGCTAATCTTCTTCACTGTTTTGATTGGGAATTGCCTGCTGGGATTGAGGAGCATGACATTGACACCGAAGTCACACCAGGAATAGCTGTGAACAAGAAAAATGATCTTTTCTTAGTCATTAAGAACCCATAATACACATCCACGTGGTCACCTGCTATTTTTGTGTGCGTGGAATCCTTCCCGGTATTTAAGATTGCACTGTAGCTGTCTCAAACTTTCACTTCCGTCTGCTCACTTGTTCGCTTCAATAAAATGACGTCGAGTTCATGATTTTTCATTTCCTTCTAAGAATTTAACTTTTCACGATAATATCTTGCTCTGGTATTTAAGCTGTAGTTATACACCTCCTCACGTAACTATTATTTTATATTTATATATAATTTCAAGTTATTTACAAGCAAATTGTGATTTATTTACAAGAAGATTGTGATATGATTGAACTTTGTCTTATTCACGCTATTTTAAAATAATAAAATTCTTCATTAAGTATTCAAGAAACACATTACAAGAAATTAAAATACAATCAAAAGCGCGAGTTTTCCCCCCCTCAAAGCATGCTCTCGAACAAATTTGGATAATGTGTGGGCGGAGTGATTTAAACTCACAGGCTCACAGCCCAATGTTGCTCTTGGGCCATACCGAAGGAAACAATTTATATAAAAATATACTCCTCCGATCCTAAATGTAAGACTCTTATACTAATGTGTATAAGGGTCTTACATTTAGGACCGGAAGAATATATCTATAAATATACACAGAGCGTCCGTCCCATATTTAAATGCACACGCAACTGCGTTAGGTGGTTTTCCCTTTCAGTCTCTAGTCCGGGAAAAAAAAAAAACCACGGATTTGTCAGTAATATTCACTTGCATAAATAATTCCAAATTGAGACTTCCGTTCTATAAAATGTAAAGCGACTGACGCACTTTAGCCGGCGGAAAGCAGATAGAAGCTGCAAAATCATGCTTTTTCTAATCGCCCTTCTCTTTATCCCTTTCATCTTCTTCTACCTTCTTCATAAACAAAGAACCACCGCCTCGCTTAACATCCCTCCTGGTCCTCCAGGCCTTCCTCTTATCGGCAACCTTCATCAGCTTCCGAGCTCTGACCTTCACCTCCACCTATGGCGTCTCTCCAACCACTACGGCCCTCTCATGCACTTGCGCCTCGCTTCCATACCAACTCTGGTTGTTTCCTCCGCAAAAATGGCTGAGCTCTTCCTCAAAACCCATGACCTCCAAATGGCCAGTCGTCCATCCTTGCTCGGTCAGAGGAAATACAGCTATGATTGTTCAGACCTGGTTTTTTCACCCTACGGCGATTACTGGAGAGAACTCAGAAAGCTCTGTGTCGTTCATTTGTTCAACACCAAACGTGTTCAGTCTTTTCGCTCTCTCCGGGAAGACGAAGTGCTCCGAATGATGAACAATATATCAAAGTCGGCTTCCCTGAATCAAGTCACAAACTTGAGCGAGGCGGTGATGCGTCTGACAAGCAGCATAATTTGCAGAGCTGCTTTTGGAAAGAGATATGAAGATGAAGGAAACAAAAGGAGTCAGTTTCATGGGATGTTGAATGAAGAACAAGCCATGATCGCTGCGTTTTACTTCACAGACCATTTACCTTTCATCGGGCACTGGATTGATAGGCTCAGGGGATTATTATCGCGGCTCGAAAAAAACTTCACGGAATTGGATAATTTCTTCCAGCAGATCATCGATGATCACATCCATTCAAAAGCACGAAAATCCGACCAAGAAGAAGACTTCATCGATGTCTGTCTTGGATTGACGAAGGATACATCTTCATTCGAACTCTCATTGACTAGCATCAAAGCCTTACTTACGGTATTACTCTTAACCTTTTCACCGTTTCAAACCTGAGATTAAATAAATATTTTAGGCAGAATGCTTATGGCGTAGACTCTTAAAAGGCTTGCCGTGCACTGATAAAATACATATGTTTGGATACAATATAATATACTCATTAGATTGGGACAAGCATGAGAGTGTCTTACAATAATAAAATATAGTGAATTATTTGGGTGCAGGATATATTCATAGCTGGGACTGACACCGGGGCGGCGACGCTGGTATGGGCCATGACGGCTCTCATTAAGAATCCAAGAGTGATGAATAAAGTCAAAGAAGAAATCAGAAATTTAAAGCCGAGAAAAAGCTTCATTGACGAAGATGATCTCCAAAGGCTTCCTTATCTGGAGGCGGCAGTGAAGGAGACACTGAGAATGTACCCACCAGCGCCATTAATGGTACCGAGGGAAGCGACTGAGAAATGCCAGATCGGTGGGTATGACATAGAAGACAAGAGTGTGATATATTTCAACGTGTGGGCCATAGGGAGGGACCCAGAGGCATGGGAGCAGCCAGAAGAGTTCAATCCAGAAAGATTTGAAGGTAGGTCTGTGGATTTCAGCAAGGGACAAGGATTTGGGTGGATACCGTTTGGAGGAGGAAGAAGAATATGTCCAGGAATACAACTGGGAGTTGTAACAGTGGAGCTAGCACTTGCTAATTTACTCAACTCTTTCGATTGGGAACTCCCCAAAGGGATGAAAGTGGAGGACATAGACACTGATGTTCTTCCTGGAATCGCCATGCACAAAAAGAATGCTCTTTGCCTTATGCCCAAGAAATTACAGGACTGCATAGTTTAGTCAAATTACTTTTCCGCCAATCATTTAGCAGTTTCCACCAAATATAAGATCGTAGATTCCATCCTGCTTATAATCCTGCCTTGTTAAATTTAGGGTTGATGTATTGGGTCGCGTGTTTATGGTATAATAATGAAAGATGTATTGGATGCGCACATCACTCTTGACCTGATCCAACCTCGAAGCCTCTGCACATTTGTGTGGTAAGTAAATAATAACAAACCACTTGGAACAAAAAATATAATAGGAACAACATCAAATCATTAATCAGCAATGACGTTAGTTCGCACAAAAAATAATTTAAGCAACGTACGTGTTCAGCAGCTAGAAATATTTTTTCGTTGTTAATGGATAAATCACGCAAGACTGAGCTTCATTGAGTTGACTTAGTTAGCAGGTTGCAACTGAAAAGAATAAAATTGGTGAGATAAATTTTCTTAAACAAAGATTTTAGTACGACTAAGATATAAGTATGCCGTAATGTATCTGTGAAGGTCAAACTGATAGAAATAAAGAAAACAAAGGAAGAATACGTACAGCCGCGAATGCCGGGCATTCTTTATGCTGATTAGTGAACGTGAAGGTTTGCAAAGAAATGAAAACAGCTCTCATAATTTGAAGGCTTCAACTGTCATAGTAATTTGACAATCGGATACGGATTGAATTTATTTTCATTCAACAATTGCAGAGCCTGTAACCAGTAGTATTGATGCAGTACATTGATCGTCAAAGTGAATCATTTTTAAACTGAAAATTAATCAGCAAGCCTCCATGATCGCTGAATTTTAAAACTAAGACTTGGCGATTCCGAAAGGTAATCTTAAGGTAGGTGCGGATTACCACCCACCACTTGTATTATACTCCTCCGGTCCTTAATATAAGACCCATTTAACTAATTTGATTAGATTAAGGAAGTTAGGTAAATTAGTTAATGATAAGAAAAATGACACATTTTTCCTAAAATACCATAATAATCTTTTTTAATACCCCCTCCCCCTCTTTTACTTGATTATGGTTGGGGGAGTATCCATAGGGGTAATTTAGAGAAAATTAAAAAATATGAGAAATGAGTCTTATATTTAGGACCAAAACTAACTCAAGAATTGAGTCCTATATTAAGGACCGGAGGAGTATTATATTACGAGTATAATATTATACTACCTTCTACTATTAATACAGGACGTGACTAGTTGACTAATCTGAGTAAATTAAGAAAATTAGTTAAACTAATTATTTATAATAAATATGTGTCGTCTTCTTTAAAATACCCTTACTAATCATATGTATTAGCTAGAATTACTATTTGATGAAATATTTACCATGTACAACCATTATAAGGACTACCTTAAAAAAATAGATAAATATAAGAGACAAAGTGGATTGAAATCTTATATTTAGTACCAAACTGAATGTCAAACTGGCTCTTATATTAAGAAACAAAAATATTACAAACTATATAGGGGTTGAATTTAGATCTAAATACATTTTATCTTTCAAATTTATAATTTTTTATTCAAAATATTCCTATTAATTATAAGAGATTTTCACCAAGTAATAGTTTCAATGTATATAATTAAAAAAAAGTATTTTAAAAAAGCTAACATGTGATTTTTATAAATAACTAACTTAATTAATGTTTTTAATACTACTTCTGATACTAAATATAAAAACTAGTTAGAGATTCAATTTAATTCTAAATATAAGAGTCAATCTACTTTGTTTTCTCATATTTATTTTTATCCAAAGTAACCTGTATTAAAAAGTTTTATTCTAATACACATGATTAATAAAGATATTTTAAAAAAAAACATCCATTACAAAAACTAAATTAATTTTCTAACTATTCACAAATTAATTACCTCTTGTATCATGAAGCAGATCTAGTATTTCTAAATTAGTAATCTATTACATTGTTCATAAGGGATGTTTGGACCGTAATTGTATGCTCGACACCTGACATGGCATCCGTTCGGTGAATTTGGAGGATTGCAAGAAAAGAAGGAAGCCAAAATTCATTCAATATTGCCGGCCGAAGATAGGGAAACTCACTAGAAATTGCCTTCTTATGGGACGTGGCACACTCGCACAGGTAGCCCCAGTTGAACACCCAACCACCCCCGCCCCCCCCAAAAAAAAAAAATTTGGTCCAAAAATAGCGTTCCTCAAGTAATTCAATGCGCTTGCTTATGGCTTTATTGCCATGTCGAGTAACATCGTGTTTCCTAAACAAACGGGTTCGCAAAATACAAACTAAATGATAATTGCACAAGCCCAAGTACCTTTACGATCGTCCTTTCGCATTGGATGCACCGAGCTTCCGGATTACGTTAATACACCTTCCTATACCATTTTTATTTTTAATATAAAAACTAATTAATTAATTAAATTAGATTAAAAAATTGAGTTAACTATTTATAATAATAAATATCATCTTTTTAAAATACCTTTTCTAATCAATGTTGATTAACTATTATTATTATAAAAATTATTTTAAAAAAATAAATTAAAATCTTAAATTCAAAACCAAATAAAAATCAAATAAATTCTTTCTTGAGAACCAAAGTAGTAGTATTAAATAGTATCGTGTGCAATCAAAAATACGGCCACAAACTACAATAAAATTGGAAAAGTCTGTTGATGCAATTTTGATGATAATCCGTCATTAAATAATTAAAAGATCTGTTGCCGAGAAATTAAAACCACACATGAATCTCAAAACATGACTTGATAGGTGATCATTCCAACTCAACTTTCTGTCTTCATTTCTCTTGGAACTTGCTGGTGAGAGCATTTTGCCTTCCCTTGTCAACTCAAAGTTCAAATCAGCAGTCACACTCGAACAAGAGTGGCAGCTGATGAGGTAAACAAAGACATTTTCCTTAATTTAAAAATTAAAACCCAGGCTTGTAGCCTATGGGATCTCCGAATCCAACCACTAGTTTCCTAAAAATTTACAATAAAAACATAGCAGAATAAAAATTTCAATAACTATAATAGGTAGGCAAATTCACCAGCCAACAAATAACAGTACAATTCTCTTGGTGAACAAAACTTTAAATTTTGACCACAAATCCCAAGTCAAGACTTACGGGGTCTTCCTCTCCTACCCGTTTTTACTGGAGCCCGATTTCTCCCAGGGCCAGAACCCCTAGCTTTACCTTTCGCTTTACCAGAATTATTTCCGCCACGTTTCCTTTTCCCCTTGGCCGCACCATTTACTTGTTCCTCATCGTCACTTGCTTCATCATCATCCTCCTCCTCCTCCGATTCAGACGATTCTTTTGTTTTCTGCTTCTTCTTGGAATTGTCACCACCTCTTGCACCCTTTTTGTACTCTGCTTAGGCACTGTAGTTTTCTTTACAGGTTCCTCATTTACTATAGCAAGAGCACATTCAAATAAGCAACCAGTTTAAGCTTAAAATAGCTATCACACTTAAACCCTTGTAAACATCCAACTCAAGATAGATTAAGACACACTCAGGCTTTCCAGGCTGAAGCAGTATCCCATCCACCCAAAAAACAAAAGAAAAAAAAATCATTTTCTAATGATTCACTTTTCCTAATAAATGAGTTTTGATCATTACAACATACCTTCACCAGAAGCTTTTCCATCGTATATATCAAGCTGCAGAAAAACAGGACGTTAGCACATAGTATCTATATATATATAACAAAAACTCTAATAAGATCCACTACTCCTATGCCTTGAACAATGTGATTCACTCCTCAACTCTGCAACGCATGGGACTCACATGCTAGTTAGTTACACAGGAATAGAACAACCAATATAGAGCACTTAACATTTAACAACATCAACAGAGAGAAGATGAAGTAGGAGGAGGAAGGAAAAACAATAACTCCCAGGTTGCAACTAGGAAATATCTACTTATTTGAATGCATGCAGCCCATGGTCCCAATACTTCGCCATGATAGTTTTGAAATATGCAAACCAGCTAAGATTTACCTGGTCAAGTCGTTCACCAACATTTGTTCCATCAACAATGACCATGGAGTGGCCCATACCACACGCAACACTGTTTCAAATAAAAATAATCATATCTTAAATCTCCAACTACCCAAAACAACCAAAAAGGCATTTAACAAGTTATTTCGTATAGATATCCTCAACATTTTGGCTTCCAGAGACAATAAGAGCGAGAGATTTAAGTTTAGCAATTACTCTCAAAGTAAGACGTATATGGACATCCGTAAAACAAAAGGCAGATAAAAACAAGGGAAGAATTAAACGACACGTAATACCCACCCCATAACATGCATGCCCTCAAGAATATCCACCTTTTTGGGTACTGCTGAAGACCTGAACACAGGTGAAGGTGAAGCCGCTAAAGAAAATTGAAAAAGGAAAAAAAAAAAAAAAAAAAAGAAACGAAACGAAACACAATGATAAGAATCATAATACTTCTGTGCATTAGGCCCATATCCCAGTTCTCCATGTTGAGCATGGCCCCAACTTATACATGAAGAATCGGCCCCAACAAAATGGTGCATTCCCTGAATCCATGCATCGTAAGTTCCAGCCACTACCAACACAGACCAAAAAAGTTACCCAATCAGTTACACAACATTTTGATCAAACACAGAAACACACACACACAACAAGACAGAAGAAAATGAAAGGCAAGAAATTCTGTAAATATCATGGACATGGCACAACCTTAAATCCAGCAGAGGCTTTGGATACATCCAATCATCACCTGTATTCTTATTTTGCCCCACATATACAATTGCCCTCCACCTGGAAAGTGAATAAACTTCAAAGTGATGACACTGAAACCAGAAACTATTTGTAGAAAGCCACCTCCCAAGTCATAACATATCATACAGAAACAGTTCAGTTCACAGGAGGCTAAGTAACACATTGCTCCTATAATCCTATATTGTACAGCACATATAACAGGTCAAAAGCATGCCCCAGCAACAACAGCATGCTAACACGCCTAAATATGGAACAGGTCAACTTTACCCTATTACGTCAACAAATTTTGACTCTGTACGAAATCACTTTTAAACAAAATATTTTGCATAGGACAAGCAGAGCTGACCGCTGACTGCCAAGAGACAATACAAATATCATAGCTCAAGACAGTTACAAGAAAGCCCTAAATCGCCGCGAGTAAGTAATAAAAATGACAAGCATCAATACGATTGACTTGTATGAAATATGGACTAGCACTTCTCAATAACAAGTCTTGAAGCTCCAATTCAAAAATGACAACAACCAAAAAAAAAAAAATCACCATTAAAATGCAAGGCAATCAGGTCAAATTACTACAAGTGATCCCTAGTTGGCTAGTTAAAGCTAAAAGTAAAATGTTTAGCCACTTAAAATTTGGACGAGAATCATGAGACTTACAGATTTCCCCACAAAAAGCAAACCACTGAGTCATGAAGACTCAACACAATCCATAACAATGACCAATTCAAGCAAAAAGTTCAAATTGCTAGGATAAGACCAAAGGTAAGATTTATTATTAACTCTCTCACATATTACAGGACTACATTAATCTCGATCTACTAATACATACACAAATATGACAAGGGAGGGAGACTTTGTAATTACAATTCACACACAAATTATATAACTACAATCTGCA